AAAGATTTACTGATGCCTTAAAAGCAGTTTAAATTGAAATTTTACAGCAGGTGAAGGGCAGAAGTCACTTGCTCTGTTCTCCTCTGTGTGCTTGTAATTGATATCACTTAATTTCACGCATTTGGGAAAAAATATGTAATTAATAGTCTGTAGATGGTGTGTATTTTGGAGCTTTTAATATACCTAGAGAAGCAACTTTGGCTATTCTTGTTGAACAAGCACTACTCGCTCAGCTCTTCTGAGCAACTTGCCAGTATTGCCAGCCCAAAGAATTCAACAGTCCTAAGCCGGAAGCTTCAGAACCATGAGATTTCAATTAAAAATTACAATTTTTTTACTCTTTGCCTTCTGATTCTTATTTTCATCTTCAAGGTTCAGTCAATGACTACTTGCAAGTTTCTTCTTCACAATCCCAAGAGCTTAACAGAAGCTGAAACTCTCGTATAATTGCCAAGAACTGGAAACGGAGACCTTAATCAGAACATTAAGTACTGTAACAAAGACAGAAGTTGTGAAGTCTGAGCAATTCACATTTCCAAAACAGGCTTATGTCCAAACTTTCAGAAGTTCTTAATGATTCAAATTCACAGCTAACACAGGTGTCTCAAAGCTACTCCCAGGCTTATCGTTCTTGCTGCAGGCTTTTTGATCCCCACTGAACGTAACTGGGAATTCATATGGTGACTTCAATGGAGCTGTGTTGATTGACACCAGAAAGTGATCTCAAAGTTCACCAAAAAGAGATGCTATCTTCAGTAAAACTTCAGTTCAGAGCTAAGAAGAATCTTGGAAGCACCATTTTTACCCATAAAGCAGGATCTAAATACACCTGCACCTTGACCCTCCTTGTCTTGAAATATTTGAGCTTCCTTTGATAATATCAAGTTCCAGCACTTCAGAAATACATTTCTCAGTTCTTCTGGGTTCCTGCTTTGGTGACAAGCTTTTTCCTTTGATCCCAGTGTAAGAGTTTTCTCTGGCATGCTCTTTGCTCCCACCTTTTTCTGGTCTGCTTCCAAGAACTGAACATTTTTAGTTCTCCCATTAGATTTTAGCTTTTGTATATTTTGCTTTATTGGAACTGGCAACATGGTGCTATTTAAACGCAGCTCCATCTGTCAGAGTCCAGTCCTGTAGGTAGGGTGTCATGTTTGATTTCATGTTATCATTTGTTGTGTAGTCAGAGCTAAAGAAAAAAAATGTTTACTATAAAACAGTTACTTTTATAAATTCCTTTGAGAGCTTTTTTACTGTTATTGCAGGACCTACTTGTGTCTTTACGAATACAGCCCCTTCTGCACTGCCAGAGAGAGAACAGAAGGGGTGTGCTCGGTCTGGCTTTGGTCGTTGGGTTTCCCTCTTCTGCTTTCCATGTCGACTGCATGTCCTAAGCATGTATGTGAATTTATATGCCAGCATTATAGCTGATGGAAAACATCGCAGGCCTAAAATAAAGCTGACATTTTGGAGACTGAGTTTTCAGATTTGAAAATGAATGTACTTATCTTTCATCGCCCAGGTCCAGAGCTGTTGTCTGGTATGAGGTTACATCTGACACTGGAAGAAGAGATATGGTAGACTTTTATCCCAGCGTGGTAACAGTTGTACTTCACAGTCAGTGTTTCCCAGCCAAAAGGGCACTAGATGGGAAGCAATGCCTAATAAAAACATCATTTACTGGAGCCTTTCTGGTGCTCATATCAAATAGATCTGGTGAACACAATTATTTCCTTCCCAGTCTCCTAGATTGACATTGCTTCTTCTGTTCCTTTTTCTTCTCAAAAAGACATAACCTCTAAAAACCTCAAAAATATGAGGCTGACTATAGTCCGGAGGTATTTGTGACAGCATATATAGAAACCTTTGCAACCCATTAGAGTGCTCATCTTCTCTTTTCTCTTCACAAAAAATATGCACATCTCACCTTGCAGGTCTTGCTAATCACATTTGCTTGGGAAAAGCATTACATGCATGTTTTAATTTTGCTTTCTCTTTTGCACTGCGTCAACATTGTTCTTCTTAAGCCATCTAGAAATGGCTATTCAGGTGTAAGAGGTTTCCTGCATTTCTTCTTACTCCCGTAAGCAGTTCTCTGTTTGTTTGGGTTTTTTTCCAAATGGCAGCATTAAGGTTTCCAGCCTGACAACTTCTAAAGATAGACAAACCTGCAGTATATGCTGCCTGTACAGCTTCACCGAAGGCAATGGTGTCCCGGGGCAGAAAGCATGGCCAGCATCTCTCATGCCCTCCCGCTCTGAAAGTCACCCCAGTGGAGAGCGATCAAGTGCTGACAGACAATCCACGCTGCGATAGCGAGGGATCAAGCTGTGGAACCATTTCCCAAGGACCACTCACACGTTTCCTCTTCTATTGGAACACGCTCGAGTTCTGTGAGGTGGGCTGTCACCTGATGGAGGATCTGACACCGTGGGAGTAACTGGCACTAAAAGGGGTGACGATCCAACTCGGGCTCTCTGCCAGCAGCCATGCAGAGCGGCAGGGCAGCTTTCCTGCCATGAGCACCCAGCAGACCGTGCGTCAGAGGGTCTGTGAAAAGAAGCTGTAAATGTAAACACGGGGAAGCAGGTTGCAGCTGGAGGGCTGGGAGGATTGAGCTGCAGCCTCGCTGCAACCCCTGCAGACGGCCGTGCCGCCAGCTGGCTCGGACGCCTGCTTCAGCCACGCGAGCCCAGCCCGGCTTTCCACTTTTAAGAGCAAACAGCTGGGGAAAGGCCACGTCTTAAACAATCCGAGCTCCTCTGCTCAGTAAATGCAAGGCATAAATCTGAGGGCTTACATCGACATCAGCACAGCTGACCCAGCGCTAGGCTGCTATTGTAAGATCTGTGCTTTTAGTGCAAATAAAGTACCGTGTCAGTGGGAGGAATCAGTTAAGCCCTCTGCTATTAGCTCTGTTGTCATTGTAAGCACTTTTCCAGGTTGTGCTGCTGGAAGCAGCTGTTTCAATTCATCCACAAATTTTTCTAGAGCAGATATGTCCAGATTCTCCACTCTCAATGGAATGTAAACCAAAAGCAGATGCACAGATGGCCAGAACATAGGACATGCACACCAACTCTAATGTCTGTATTGAACTGGGGGTTTGGAGAGCACTGGTGTGCTGGACATCGTGCAAACAGCACAAAGAAATCATGTTCACAATATAAAACAAGAAACAAATTACAAATGGATAGCTCCTATCTTCACATGTGAGCAGTGCTCCTATTTAACCCTCCAGATTAGAGTAATCCAAGCCTGAACTATTGCATGAGAGTTACACCAGCGCTGGCCTTGCCCAGGAAGGCTGTCGGCATTCCTGGGACTGTGTTTTCTGGTCTAGTAAGCTAATTCACAGCCACCTTCCTTCTTGGTTAGTTAGTGGCTGTCCTGCACACATGGGAGGAATTGTGGACAGCTGAAAAGCCCTCACCCTGCAGCAAGCAGCTACCACAACTGCATCGGTTGCAGCCTGCAACCCATAGCCCAAGCCTGGTCTGCAGTGATTCCTGTTTCTAAAAACAAAAGGAGACAACAGCAAACTCTGGGTCATGTACAGCTCATGTAATATGTACTCGAGCTGATAGCACAACACTGGACTTAAATTGATCTTTGGTTTGTTTGCCTTCCTTGTATTTACAGTTGCAAACATCCAAGGCTGACTCACACACAGACCAACGAGCACTTTTAAGTACCAGGATATGCTAGAACAGCTGCTGCCTGATCAGGAGAACCATTCTTCAGGGCCATTGTCATTAACAATTCTGTAATTTATATTGATGGCAATGCAGGGAAACAAAAATGACTGTTGTTTAGGCACTAGCAGCCCTCAGCTGGACAGTTTGTCTTTCTCCAGGAGTTTTATATAGTCCCCTCCAGTTTAGGGAAGGATAGAAAAATGGAAGATGAGAGCTGGAAAGCAACTGAGTAGGACTACATCCCACACTGGCATTGGTAGGTTATAGCTTACAGTAATTCATATTTGGTGGACTTAGTAATTAATCTAGTAGTCAATGAACAAATGCATTGTTTGGCCAATTCCTGTAGGCTTTAAGTTGGACCATTTCTTTAACGGATCAAACAGTTCACTTTCTGCTGCTTGAGAAATGGTTTGTGTGCAGCATCGCTAGAAGTCTACCTGAGAGAATGCCTCTGCTAGGCACTTAGTACGTGGCCGAGTTTTTACAGATGAAAGACAAAGTGGGGGTCTTTCATCCTGCCACCTTCCCATTTTACAGAAGAAGATGATGACTCTTGCACAGTCAGGTGCTTTCTCTCTGCTCTGCTGGCCACAGATAGGCTTAGAGCACCTGCCCTGTCCTCAGGGAGGGCTGAGCTAAGGATATCACCAAGGCAGACCTGGTTTGAGCACCCATGGTCCCACTTGTGCTTCAGCCATCCAGACTACGTGGGCTAATGCTTGGATTTGTCTCAGAGCATCAGCACCATCCAGGCTCTTTTTTAGCAGGCATTCGAAGCTTGAGCTAACCTTTTACTTGCTTTTAAATAATGTCGGTAGCAGTTGAATCAGGATTTGGTCTGAGACATTCGTCTGTAGCGATATGTGAGCTGGCATGCCCAATGTCACTCAAGAAGGCTGTGACAAACTTGAGATTTGACACCAGATAGCCTGAGCACCTTCACTACTGTGCGTGATTCTGTGTGCAGTGCCATAGCTACAGACCGTGACTTCTCACCAGGGGACTAATTCCCCACTGGGACTGTACAAAACACTAGCATGTAAGAATTGCTTTCTGATCTTCATCCTCATCTTTCTTTTATTCAGCCTTATCTTCTTGCTTTTGTTTCACTGTAAGTCATCTTTTCCCGTATTGGTATTTATAGCGTCTAATACTGTAGCCACCTTTTATTTCCAGGCAGTGATGAGCTCCTCCTCACGTTTTGTCTCCTCTTTGTCTGCAGGTTTTGACACTGTGCTGCTTAACCAACATGGGATTAAAATAACCAGAAAAGCACCAGCATTTTTAATCAGATGGACAACTATGGGAGAGCTTCAGATGCCCTATGACTCACATACAGATTTTGAACAACTTAAGACTTCTTCTCAGGCTTCTGAAACAAAAGAAGCTGCAGCTCATCCATCCACTTCTCAGTTTGGAGTGGAAAGAGGTGAGATGCCCTACCTATAGGTAAAACAGATGTAAGTAGGTCTGTGGGAGTAAAACTGAATCAATGGATATACTTCTAATTTTAGATATGAAGCAGTTAACACGTAAGATACATGTCCTTCCTACTCCTCAGTCATTTTCTTTCCAGATTTCTCTCTCTATCTAACCTATCTGAAAATCTTCTCTACACCAAGGCAGAGGAGACTGCTTTGGTAAAAAGATGTATATTCCTTTAATCTTACATTTCCTTCCCCTCTCACTTACCTAAGCACACAGGCGATTTGATTTTTTTCTTTTTTTCCGTACATATGTGCCTAAACCCAACCATGTCAGGATGCTTAGCTGTTGTGCACAGTTACAGTGAATTTTAATTTCTGCCCAGGGCTTGTTGCTCCTAAGTTCTTTGATTTCCAGTTAAACTCCCTGCCTCAAATTTTTACCACATTCCCCCACAACCTCAGCATGGAAAGAGATAGAGCACCTCCAAGCAATTAGTCATTGGAAATAAAAACATGATTAAGAATGGCAAACCTAGTTAAAATGGAGGGATGAGTTGGCTGCTTCCATGTGGAGCCTATTCAGCAAAGTCAATACCAGTGCACGTTATCCCCCACTGTCTGTGCTTCAAAGGTAAGAACGCAGGGTCAGAGTTAGATACAAAGTTTTAAGTTAGATTCAGAGAGGTAACAGGCAGGAAAAAGAAAAATGTTCACTGAATGTGGGGAGCTGCTTCTTAGGTTTCCTCCTGAGATCTGTAAAGTTAAACCCCAGATTTGATAGTGCAGTAAAAATCTGTTCTCCTGAAATACCCACATTTTTAAAGTTAAAAAAAGCCAAAAGGATATCTCAGACCTGAAGTTGATTTCCAATTGGACAGTAGTCTGGTGTTCAACATTTTTCTAATCCTGAAAGAATAAGGATGAGGTAGAAAATGTGGAAGACTCTCACAAATTATAGCAATTTATGGAAATAAAGTTGTCTGTTCTGTACAGGAAGAAGCATACTATTATCTGACAGACATCATGTCCACAGAATAAATTAGTTGTGCATTAGATCCTTCCTTCTGTTCCATAGGAATCCTTTCCCACTCCTCCTGTTACAGGAATGATTTTCTAGCTACAGATAAAAAGTGCAGCGGATGCAGAGAATTATTCAAATGCCATTTTATCATGTAGCCTACGGTGACAGTGGGCTGCATTCTGACAAGAAGCAGCAGGACCAGTTTGCAATCCACAAACATGTAACGTTTCAGGAGGAAGAATGAAAAATTGAACCTACATGATGCTTTTTCTCAAAACTGCGTACTACTTCTTTATTTTTTTCTTTTAGTCTCCTTCTGGAGAACTGTAAATTAAAAAACTTCAGGTGCAGCAACACATTGGTCTAGCATGTAAAGCTTACTCAGTGAAATGAATGAACAGCCTATGCTTTTTTTTTTTCTGTCTACCTTGTAGGTATATTCTCTGTTGGTTTAAATAATAGCAAGTGCACTGTGTTTCTACTCTTGCATTGAAATCTTAAATATTTTTTTAGATAGGAATTCTACTATAATATCTTATATAGCAATAATTTTTATTATTATCATTTCTTTTTTGATGATTGCTGATTGGCCCATCTGTCAGGACTACAGATAGATTTTTTTTGTTTCATTTGATATAAATGTTTCACAACTCTCAGGAGAGAAGAATCTTTCACAACATGCCAAAATTTTGCAAAAAAAAACCAAAACTGGATTAGTGTGAGAAAGGACCGATAGAGAATATCAGCTGAAGTAAAAAGAAACCAACAAAAAACATTGCTTATATAAAAACTTGATTTCTTCCACTACTAGGAAAATGTTAGCAGTATTTTAAATGCTGTGGATTTCATAATTAGTGGTGTTCATAAATGCAGCAATATTGATTTTGTACAAAAACCTGAACTTAGGCGGCGATGAGATGCTGAAAACATTTTAAGAAAGAATGAGATCAATAGAGTCAAAATGAAAATGCATTTCGATGAATGGTGTTACTCTATGATGTGAAGCTTGAATGCTAGCGAACTCCCATTATTGCAACTGTTCACTAACATGTTCACTTCATTAACTCCATTGAATTCCCAGAAATCATAGTGCCATATAAGAAGTGCTCGACTTAAATATTACACCTATCAATGTACAAGTTAAAAATGAAACGTCGTATGTTTTTACACCAGGGTTTGTGCCAGGGAGCAGCAATGGCTGACTGCTGCCCTAAGGGAAGGCGCGAGGGAGCCGGGGTGAAGGCAGGGCAGGGGGATGGAGGGTCCTTGCTGAGCCGAAGGCAGGGTGCTGAGCGGGCAGTGTGGGTCAGGGTCCATCCCAGAGGCATTGGTCAGGATCAGTCGCAGTCCCACGATCACCGGGCAAGTCCACAGGGAGAAGGCAGGTCTGAGGTCAAGCCGGGAAGCCAAGCTAACACTGAATGCTCTCAGGCTGTGCTACCACATATATGCCACAGACTGCTCAACACTAAGCCACTTAAAAACATCTTATCCATTATTTTAGGATTATATTAGTTTATATTATGCTTATTATTTCATAGTAGACTAAATCCTAACTAACACCTTAATTCCAAAAAAGGAGAGTCAGCACCGCTCTTTGAGAGCTATGACTGTGCTTCCTATGTGCATTATAAAAGAACCACAGACAGCTCTTGAATATTCATATGCATCACAAACATGCCATAAAAGAAAAGAGAAATCCCAGATTCCTTGAGAATCCAGTGTGAGCATGGTTGCCTGGGCTGTAGGAAGTCCAGGATTAATTTTCTGCTGTGCCGTTCTCCCACTCACAGCTCAATGCCTTAGCTCAGAACATCGTGACCGCTCTGGGAGACATCAGCCAACTTTGGAAACCTTCTGTCCTGAGACTGCTTTCCCAAAACAAGATTATTCAAACTTGCACAGTTTCAGATAGGGACGGCTTTTTCAGATATTTTCACTTTTAAAAAATCAGGGGTGTTTTGAGGGGGAGCTGGAGTTGCTTTTTAAGAAATCTAATACCTCAAAAGAAAAAATTCTGAAGCAGCTCTAATTCCTATGCAGCATAACTCACAGCCTAAATGGGCAAGACTGATGAAGAATACTAGAAAGAAATAATTATTCCTTGACAGGAGGGAAACAGAGAGGTAAAGTGACTTGCCCAGTATAAATCTTCAGGGTAACCATCTAGTTAGCACCTTACTCAGAAGGCTATTTAAGCTTTTTAAAATGCATTCCTCTTACTTTCTGTCCCATATAATAAACACCAGACAGCTGCTTGCATTCTCATAAGCGTGAATCTTTAATTCTTCTTCTGTCATCTGTTTTAAAGAGCAGAGTATGATTTTGCTGTGATAAAGTTCTGGAATCATAATATATAAATCTGTTTGTGATTCGTAAATGTCAGTACATACGGTACTTGGGCATTTGATTACTGACTGCCTCAAGCATATAAACTAGCATATTAAAACCTTAGCATTCTTGTCAGAATTAAATCATCTTAATGCTTCTAAAAACATCTCTCCCATGCAGAAGTCATTTCTTTCAAGGTTTTTTAAATATTCTTTTATTTAAGCTATTCCACTTGTCCTTGTAAATGGCAGAATTTGTTTCAAAAAGACCCAGGGGACAAAAAACCTCACAGGGTCACATGCTCCAAGTATTTAACTTCTTTAATTTTGAGGGACAAATATGAAACAAGCAGAAGTCTAAAAGTCTTCAAAGAAATCCCAGCCGAAGTCATATACCAGCATTGCATGCAACTCCCACCTGTATGAATATAAGTAGGTATTCAGGCTAAAGCTGTGAAATAAAAAGAAAACTCCCTCCTTCCCACCTGACAAAATTTCAAATATTCACAAAAACATAACAAACAAATATAATCTAGTCTCTGCTGGCAAAAGAACTGCTCTCTCCTTAGTTATCCATCTCTTGCTCATCTTGTTGTTTGATGGAGTCTCCTCTCCTCCTTCTTACTCAGATTCTTCTCAGTGGAATTCACCTTTGCCTTCTTGCTGCTATCACTGAATGGCTTCTCTAGCAAATCTCTTTTTGGTTCAGCACAGAAAAAAACTAAACATCGTCTTCAGCTCCACAAGCTTGCAATTTAAAGTAACCTACATGTATCTTGTACTACTTTCTGTATATTCAAAAATTGGCACTTCAAGCACCCTGCATTGCCACAAAGAGATGCAGAGCAGTGTAAGCTACAGTGCCTCCATTTCACAGAGGCAGAAACACAGATGGACAGCTAAAGCACCTTCCCTATTAAGACCTGCTCTACTCCGTGTGCTCATCTGTTCTCTCCTTACAACACTTGAAGACACACATTATAAATTTACATAGTGCAATATAAAACCATTAAAACTATAAAACACAGGTATGCACTGTATTTTTAAATGGAAGGCTTGATTTCCATTTTTCTTGTCTAATCAGGACTACTTTTTGCATATTAGAGTTTAATCCTACTTTTCTCAAAGCTAATTCAGTAGTAGGAAGATTAAGCAGTAACTAATGAAGGTGAAAACACATTTTTAACCTAAATGATGTAGTATGTCCAGTAAAACAATCACTCTTGGATGAATGCAAAAGAATTATTCAATAAACTGTATTACAAAGCTGAAAAAAACCCTCTTATAACTACAAGAAGTTACTTCTTGTTTTATTTTGTGGTTTGGGTTTTTTCTTGTTCCTGAATTTTAATTTTGAGCAATAGCAAGGCAACCCCTTTTTCCACCTAATTTATAACTGACAGCGTGACACACCTCTGTAGAAGCCTGCCTACTGAACATTCTCTTGGATTTTATCTTAAGGTGGTTTTTTTCCCAAATGAAGGCAAGGCATAGCTAATGGTATAACATAGTTTTATCCAGTTGTCTAAAATTCTGCAATTTGTAGAAGCCTCACTGGATCCCAGAAGACAATAGTAACAGTCCCTCATATTCACTTTCTTTTAAATGAAAAAGCCATAGGAATCCTGCTATTCTGCCATGGGATAGTGGAAGGCTTCTATGGTCAGTGCAGGATGCAGTTAGTGAAAAACATTACTTTGGCGTACATTGTCAGTACCCTGCAGGGGGAATTATATGTTCACAGCTGCCGCTACCCCTAATTTCTGACATGCTGCATGGAAAGTTTACTCCACTGTGGCTTGAGACTGAACAATGAACAAGAGTGAATTTACATGTGCATATTTTTATTCTGTTTTGTAGAAATTGCAGTGTGATGCAATATTAATGGACACATCCACATACATGTTCAACTGGCTTATAGAAGTGTATAATCCCTTTGAAAACAAACCACAGTAAGTGTTAAAGCAATAGCTAAGGATTCAAGAGATACAGTCATACTTGTCTATCCAACGATGCACTAGATTTTCAACAGGAGTCTCAGGAATTAAAAAGCTATTGCAGATAGGTTTCATTCTTGCCACTTTGTGTGCCTCAGATCTGCTTCAATAAAATGAATATAATGTGACATCCTTGGTCTCCAGGGCCTACGGAGCATTGCGATATCTCCATGGCTGCGATGGTATCTTCCTAGGTAGAGAGAGAGAAAACGTTTCATATCTAGCAAAGGGACCTCAATCCATTGAGACCTCTGCACACTCACACATGAAACTCTTCTAATATCTCCCTTCCTTGGCTGTCATAGCAAAGGGCACAAGTTCAGTTTGGACAAACTGGACCTAAGTAGAAGGAGGGGGTGGGAAGCTGAGGTGTGAATCAGAGGTGACTGCTCTGAAAATTAATATTGAAGCATTGCAAAGTCAGCTAGTAAAACCAGTGATATTTCACTGTTCCCTTATGGGTGCAATCAGTGCCCAGTAAGGCCAAGCTTTGCTTACCCCTTGAAACAAGGAACTGTTGCCTGTGCCCAAACAAGGTCTATAAATTACACAAAGGCTTCAGAAATGAAGAAAACTACCTGCAACTTACTGCTTGCACTCCCAAGGAACATAGCACAGAGAACCACGTGTTATGTAGCTACCTGCATGCTAACTTTCCTGCGTAGAAAAGCCATAACTAGCACTTCTAAAAGAAGTGCAGCAAGGACAAGCATTAAACACCCACAAAGACTTGGATTCAGTCCTAGTGCACAGACAGGGGGGTTTTGCACCTTAAAGGAATACTGAATCCCTGTATAAGAAAAGGACTAGGACTGAGTTTCTATAACCAAGATGCATATGGTAATGCAAAATTGGCTGACTGGGCCCAGTAGACAGTCTTGCTCCATTTGTAAGGAAGTGCTGATTATTTTGCTTCCCTTTTTTCTATTTGAAGATAGGACAGCCCTAAGACCCATGCTGGGATGAAATAATCACAGAAACTTTCTTCTCTGAAATTCAGAAAGATTTTTTTTTTTTTAAAAAAAGAGTTCTCAGGTATTTTGCTTGTCTGAAAAGTAAATAAATATGATTGAAAGCAAAGAAACTCATACTTTTGCACTTAATTACTATTTGTACAATACCCATTTATGACACATTTGTCATTAGGAAATTAAATTAGTTGTTCAACCTCACCAGTGAAATTCTACACTTGTGCATCCCGTGATTATAGCAATTTCAAATTAATGACATACTGATTCCTGGTTATTAACAATTTAACAGTTATGTGATTAGCATTTTCAATTAAGTAATAGAATTCATGAAGCTGATTAAGGCAGCAGCACTCTCCACTGTGCATGTGCTGTATCTACAAGCTTGAGTAATCACCTGCAACACCTAAGGAGGAGTTACAGGTTAAGGAATTAGCCTCTGGGCCACTTGCCTCATGTTGGTGATTTAAACCATATATTAGACTTTTTAGTGAGGACTTTTAAAATTTGCCACAGACTTATAATTTATGGACCCCTAGTTATTACAGGTAGATGCACATCAAGCACAGAAAAAGCTACAGATACAGCAATTAAAAGAAAGGATTCATAATATGAATATCACTGCTTAGCCAAAATTTTAAATCCCTTAAATCCAAATAGCCTCAGGGGGCTGGATCTAGTCGGTTTGTTGTATTATGGCAAGCTTACAGCATCATGTTTCATGATACATATTCTTTGTTAGTTCATTAAGGGATAAAATACACTGTGCCTCCTACAATAAATCTGGGGAATTAACCCTTACTTCTTACGAGTTTGAATGATGGCAACTTCTCTTCAAACATCATAGTAAAATTCCCAAGAGCGAATATCTCTTGTTTCAATACTGAGGACTCAATTTCTAGGACTTCACAACTCCGCGATCCCTAATGTATGTACTATCAATTTATATATTTTCTTACTACTCTCATACCATATCAAAGCAAATTTTTTGTGACACGTATGCCATGAACTTCCACTGGGCTATGGGATGTCAATTTGATGATGTCAATCAGCCATTTTTATGGATAGCCAAAAACAAGCAAAGAAATACTAGCTCTGTTTCCTACACTAGACAGAGACTGATGACTAGACCATATGCTGCATTGAAAAAACCCTGTAGGACTTTCAGAGAGGATCTGTAATCAAATAGGTCATTAGAGGCTAGATGCTTATTTTAGACTTCATCAGTGATCTTTCTGTGCTTACTTCAGACTTTACTTACCCATTATTTGCACTAGTAGAGCCAGTACAGGTGAGGTCCATTCACATGATATGACCATTTCAACATAAATACCAGGAATAGTCACAGAGATATTGATCTTTGATTTAGCCCTGCCCCCATGTGGTCTCTCATGTACTTTTCTTTTATTAGAAGTACCACTACCAAATACTTAGTAAAGTCAAGATATTTCTTGCCACCTTCTTTTAGTATATTCAGGTTTCCCCACCCATTTGTTCTACAGTTTCAGCTTGGTCTACCTACCACCTCCACGACTTCCCATTTCTCATTCTGTTTCAAGTCTTTCTAACTATGACTGGCAATTTCTAAGTAGATCCATGCAAATCTTCCCATGATTTGTCTATGATGTATGACTGAGTCACTGCATTTTGATAACTCTCAGATTTGGATGAGCAGTGTTATCTGAGATAGCACTACAATTCAGAGGAAATGTAGCACAGTCAAAACACTGGACTGGAACAAGAAGTGGGACAAATTCTCAGGTCTGTTTCTGTGGATGAGCCCTGCTCTCAGGAATCTCCTTCATCCCCCATGTACAAACAATATAAAGTAGAGCCACAGTAATCCAACTAGCCTAGGAAATTCTGAATAATACTGGCCTGTAAAATTGAAAGTCTCCCACTTCATACATTCTGTTGTCCTGATCTGCAGATTTTCACCAAAATCCAAATGGTGTTTGAAGTCATAGCATGAAACAGATGGGCACACTGTCCAGCATCAAGGCACTGTCTCTTCATGCACTCAGAGATCTTGCCAGATGGCACACTCCCAGCTTCATGCTTTTCTACCACATGAGACTCCATGTGGAAATGAAGAGAGGAAGGTTGCAAGATCTGTTTATACCAGCACAGAACAGAGAGACATACTTGTCCAAGGGATCCACAGCTGAGAAGAGAAAGGAAGTTATATGTAGATGAGAAATAATGCAAGTAAACACCATTTGTCTGTCTGACGTTCCAGCATACAGACACATCCACCAATGAAATTAAGAGCAATTTACAGTGAAATAGAACAATTATTGACACATATGTCAAGAAGAATTATTCGTATTTGACACTCAAGGTTAGACTATGCAAAGGTTGCTCTTGTAGTGGAATTTATAGACCCTGAATCAGAACTTTCAAGTTACAGGTGGACATCTTTGGTACATACTGCCAAGTTACAATCAATATCTGATGCTACTTTCTTCCCCAGCTGTTACACCAGACATTTCTAGATAACTCCCATCCTTGGCTGACTATTACTACATGTCTTGATGGCACAAACACTTCTGAGAAGGTCTGACCTAAGAGAAGACTTTCCAGATCCGGTATAGCATGAGGTCCCCTACTGTGTTCCTGCATTCAGAAACAACAATGTGAGAGGAACCTCAGGGCTGCAGATGCAGCTCGTTGAAGGCTCAGGCTGCATTTTCTTAAAATTGTCGCCTAGTGTGGATACAAACAGGAGTAAACTTCAGATGAAATGGTTCAAGCTTGGCAAAATTCAGAGAATACGAGAATACGGTTTTGCAGCTAGAAACAGAGGGCAACACTACTAATAAGGGGTATTTCCAGGCTGGTTCCAAATACAACTTAGAACACATATTAATACCACATGTTTTCTTTTGTGTTCATTAGATGGCAGGAAATTAGAGAATGAAATAAACTTTGATGTTCTAAATTCTCCTTTTCACCTCATTTTTCAGGTTTGTATCTGCTGAAACTTTGGTGTCTCTTCTTAATGCTATGGTGTAGGAAGCACCGTTAATAGTTAGCAACATCTTATTTTGCCCCAAATTTTCCACCTGCCAGCAGCAAGTGAATTGGAACTGTGAATTTTGTTTTATCAGAGAATGGTTTTTTGTGTTTGCAGAATAGATGACTGGTTAGACTGAAGTTTAACAAAGAGGGAACCTGCTGATATACCCTAGTTGTGTTCTTTTCTTCACAAACTCATCAGGCAAAATATTGTATGATCTTACTCAACTCCAGTTCACTGCAACTCCTGAAGTTCAGTGCAGTTTCCCTACATTCAAAGACTGCATTCAGGCTTCTCTAAACCATTTTAAAGGGTTTTGATGTCATCACCTCTGAAGACACTATTCTTGCTATATCCTAGTCATATACCAACTGTACTTCTAAATAATGGTACAATGTGCTCATCAAAACAATTTCTTTTTCTCAGAATATGCAGAATCTTTTTCCAGACACCTACCTGCAAACCACATTCCTGCCTTCTGTCCCATCCTCTTGACATCAGCTCTAAAACTAAAAACCTAGAGATAAAAATGCTGCCTGTGAAGTTGGCTGACCGCCTACTCTGATCACTAAACAGAGGTCAATCTTTCCTTTTTACTTTCCTTTTTCCTGATAGCTCTGTAGTCCCATGCCCATGGATCTCTTTGCTGGAGGGATTCCACCTTCCCTGATTCCACTTTGTATCTTTGTAGAAAGATTCTGCTCTCCATCCTCTGCTCCAGCTACTTCACACTGCTCTATCTCCAGTGGGCTCTTACAGTCAAGGATCTATGCATACGCTTCTCTTCAGGGTCCATTTCTTCAGGAACATGGAGAATTTTTGATGGCTTGAAACAAGCAAAGCAGAAAATTTTCCCATATGGAATATATTCCTTTTCCCTTAAAGAAGCAGGCTATGTAATGCCCCTATGTAACCCTAGTACCAGTTAGAAATAGTTATAAATAAGTACTTATGTCTACAGATGCTGA